GTCTGCTTGCTTTGTTTTGTTTATTTAGTATGAAAGTTTATTGATCGAGTTAATTTTTGAACTTTCTGAATAAAAAAATACAAAAAAAACAATACAAATACAACAATCTAACAAAACGAAACAAAATACAAAGAACAACAGCACAATAATACCAGCTAGGAGCAAAAATTTTGTACAGAAAAAAACAACAACAACAACGTAAAAATTACTGTCACAATCACTGTATCAATCAGTTTAATACAACTCATTTCCTATGTTAACACACCTAAAACAATTGTTGCTGCTGCTGAATCTGAAGCTGATGATGAAGATGAAGATGATGATGATAATGATGATGGTGATGATGAAGAAGAAGAAGATGATGAAGATGATGATGGTTCAAATTGTCATTGTGGAGTTTGTTGATGGCGCGCTCAATCATTGTCAAAAAATTTATCAGCGTCATCATCATCATAATTGTCATCGTCATCGTCATCATAATCATAATTGTCATCATCGTCATCCCCATCGTCATCGTCACCATCGTCACCATCTTGATGTTTTTGTTCCGACCACAATTAGCAATCATTAACAGCCGGGCAATTACACGTCAGTATTAATTTGGTTTTACTGCTACCTCCAATTACTTTTTTACTGCAACGAAATATACAGTAGTAATAGTAGAAGAAATAGCAGTAGCAGTTGTAGTAAAAATTGTAGTTGTAGTATTTATAATGAAAGTAGCAGCAGTAATAGCCCTAGCAGTAGTAGTAGCTGCTGTAGTAGTAGTAGCAGCAGCAGTAGTAGTAGCAGCAGTTGTAGTAGCATCAGCAGTAGCAGCAGTAGTAGTAGCAGTAATAGTAGTTGCAGCAGTAGTAATAGTAGTAGAACTTCAACGCCCAAACTAACCTGACAACATCAAAGCAACAGGCGACATTTACTAGAAATTTTTTGCCTTAGCATAGAATCGTGTCATATTTTCCATCAGCTTCTTCACCCTCCTTCTTCTCCCTCACCATCATCTTTTTCTTCTTCACCGTAACCGTCATCATCATCATCATCAACGCCATCATCATCATCACCAACGTCATCGTCAACGTCATCAACATCACGTGATCAGTAATATCCGTCCTGCCGGATTCATTCCTGATTAGAAATTCTTGCTATTATCTTGTAGTTTGTTTGTTTTTTTTGTGTGTGTGTTGCAGCTTGTTACCCACACATTTGCACACTTTTTCACACAAAGACACACACCTACACACACCTACACACACACCTACACACACACACGCATATATTTCGAATATTCCTTACACAAACTCACAGACGAGCACATACGTATTTACATCTTAGTTGTTGTATTCAGTTTATTTATTTTTCTTTCAAAATACATAAATTTAGATTTTAAGACCAGAATTTCATTTATAAGTAAATCAGGCGTTTGTGTGTATGTTTGTGTGTATCTATGTGTGTGTATTTGTGTATTTATGTACGTCTGTGTTTGTATGTGTGTGTGTGTGTATGTATGTATGTGTGTGTGTGTGTTTACGATTAACCAGTGCTCAATAATGCATGAATGTTGTATTTATTGCCTTGTATATATTATCTTGGCAGTATACGCAATAAGAATACACACACACAAACACACACGCACACACATACACACACACATACACACACACATACACACACACATACACACACACATATATACACACATACGAACACACATGTACACGTACAAACACAAAGATACAAACATACATGGATATGTTTTATTCTTTCTCTTTCTTTTAGCTTTATGGGATTTACTCTTAACAATAATATTATTAATAAAATTATTACTACTATCATTATTATTATTATTTTTTTATTATTATTTTATTATTATTTTTATTATGTGTATATGGATGAGGTAAGGCACCATTATAGATTTTTCAAAAGTGCAAGGTTTTTACGAGTTCATTATTGAAACATTATATCCTCTTCTAGACGTGTGTCGTGCCGCGAGGACTGCTGTGCACACACACACACACGCACACGCACACGCACATACACACACACGCGAGCACACACGCACACATATATACACACGTACACTGTATACACATACACATGTACATACATTTATACATGCTTTTCTTTATTTATTCAAAATAGCCTGAGCTTTATCTCGTTATTTTTTTTCGTACGGTAATTTTAATAATAATTGTAATTATTATAGTAAAAGTGATAATAAATAATAATTGTCATCATAATTAATAAGTAATAATAATTATTTATATATTTATGAAAGAATAAACCTGAGATCAAATCAGGGAACTTTTTTAGACATGAAAGAAAAGATCCAATTAACTTTTTTATGACTAAATTTTTCAACTTTATCTTAAAAAAAAATCATCAACGTCACCAACTTAATCACCATCACCACCACACCCAGCACAGTCGCTACCACTGGCGACAGTGGCTGCGATGATGGCGTCATTGTCGTCTTCGTCTTAGATAAGAGGAAGAGTTTGGTTTTAATCGAGTGGAAGCATGATAGAAGGATGTTGCTTGGCACTTTGCTCCATATTCAACATCATGCCTGTATTAACTGGGATTTCAATTTAAAAAAAATGACGCGATATATAAATGGATGGATGGAAGAAGAAATAGAAAGATAGATAGATAGATAGATGAACGAATGAACAGTTAGATGAATGAGTCAATCAATCAATGAAACGATGAATGCATTAATGAATAAATGGTTGAAAGAAAGAAAAAAATGAACAAATGAGTGAATTGAATGAATGAATGAAAATTTGGATTCCGTGGATGAATAAAGATCAATGGATTGAATAAAAAATAAATTATTGAATGTAAATAAAACAGAATTTAATTGATTGAGCACAAAATGACTGGATAAAAAAGAAGAAATACGAAATTTTCACACCTGTACAAACAGATACCCCTACAAAAAAGCTTACCCACATGTATACAGACAGACAAACAAACAAAGACACGTACAAACACATACATAAACACACACGCACAAACACACGTACATACACACACACACACGTAGATACATACGTTATTTTCATTTTTTGTTGCCTGTACGTACCGTTGTCCGCTCTGATGACAAGGATGTCATCTAAGCATGTGCACGCGTTGTGTTGTGTACATTCGGTATATACACTCATGCATACATACATGCATGCATGCATGCATACATACATACATACATACCATACATACACACTCGCTGAAAAGATGAAGATGGATAACTTTTTGTGCTTTGAGAGAAGCCAGACTCTGCAGCTTGTGTTGATTATGATGATAATAATGATAATCATGACGACGACGATGATAATGACGAAATGGGAAAAGATGATAAAGATGAAGAAAAAGAAGATGAAGAATAAGAAGAAGAAGATGATGATGATGAGGCATTTGATGTTTAACATGGCGCTATGACACGAAGCTACTGAAATAGAAATTTTATATGAAAGATGTTGACGACGATGATAATGATGATGACGACGATGATGAAGCTCATCATGAAGAATAAACTGATGATGAAGAAGATGACGATGATGAAGATGATGACGACGACGATGATGATGAAGCTCACCATGAAGAATAAACTGATGATGAAGAAGATGACGATGGTGATAGTCATTCTCAAACTGACATGAAGGTGGTGTCAGAGTTTGCGGTGACAATACTAATTAGCATTAATGTGCAACAAATGATGCCCAAAATGATGAATGATCAGATGAATAACGTTTGAGAAAGTTATGACGATGATGATGATTATGATGAAGACGCTATGGTGATGATTAACGTCAAGATGGTCGTGATGGTGATTACAACGATGGTGATAATGATGACGTGGACGAAGATGAGGAAGATTGACGATGATGAAGATGACGATGATGAAGGTGACGATGATGAAGATGATGAAGATTACGATAATGAAGATGACGATGATGAAGATTGACGATGATGAATACGACGACGATGGTGGTTGCTATGATGACGTTATGATAAGGATAATGATAGCGTCAAGATGATGATAATGATGGGGATGATGACGTGATGACGACGATGACGATGAAGATGATGATGATGAAGATGATGATGATGACCGTATCGCGATAAATAATTAATAGTGTTTATACTCCACGCGCGGAAAAATTCATTTTTCATTATTTTTGTATTTTTTTCGAGAAAAAAAGAGTTTTTTTTTGATAAAAATGTGACAAAAAAAACTGTTTTGCGGTGACTTGAATGAAAAATAGGATTTTCTTTCTTTGCTTTGTTTAAAAATTTTCGCACTGTAAAATTTGAAAGGTTTTATAATTTAGACTAATCGACCTCTATTTAATATTTAGGATCGTTGAAATGCTAAAATTATTTTGTTAAATGAATTAATTTCCCCCATTAAGGCTTCAAAAGAAAGATTAATTGACCTTTTTTTTTAAGTAGAAGTTTCATCAAAATGAAAAAAAAAAATAAATGAAGTTCTTCGTTGCTTATATGTTGAAAGTAAAGAGTTGGATGGAATAGGACTGGATGAAAACTTAACTACGTGTGACTCCTACGTGTTTGTCATGCTGGCCTCATCATCGTCATCATCGTCGTCGTCATCATTATAATTTTTTAATCATCATTATTATTATTTTATCGCCATAATTATTTCTTCACCATCACTGCATGATCACCTGGTGAGCACTGCCTTCCAGGCCAGCGTTTCATCGTTATCACCATCCGTGGATCATCTTACAAACAGTTCTATCGGCATTATTATCGCAAGTGTGTGAATGTGTGAATGATTGAACGAACGAATGAACGACTAAAAGAATGAATGAACAAACGAACGAATGAACAAATAAATGAATGAACGAACGAACGAACGAAATGAACGAACGAATGAATGTCTGGCCGAGGACCTTTTTTTGACGAACAAGGTCTCACGGGCCGCATAAAATAGCTTTCCCAATTAATTTTCATGTTTTTAAATTGAAAGGCAATCAGCAAGTTGACGATTTTTATTAAAATTCATTAAATCAAATTTTTAAAAATCCATTCACAATTAATCAACCAATAGTTAATCAAAAATATTGCCAAAAATCCAAAAGAGCTTAAACAGAAAAGTCCATTATTTTAACTCAAGTAGGGCCGTTCAGCTTGATCTAAGGGGTGTTTATTTTGATCCAATCCAAATATTCACTGACTCTCGTGTAGGCAGATGGGAAGCCGGGCTTGCAATTCCCTAAAAGTGCGATCACCCACGATGCCACACCGACCACGGTGTCCTTGCCAGCTGCCTTGCAAGTTGTTGGACCGCCACTGTCACCCTAGTCAGGTTAGTGTAATCATTTTGTTATAATTATCGTGAGCAACAATCAAAGGCGTCAGATGTTGTGTAGAAGAAATCGTCAAGAGATTCACGACTGCCACCAGCAAGAATTATATGATGCATTGGTTCAAGCATAAAAGTAGAGCGAAATATTAAAACAATAATTTTGACAATAATTATAAAATAATTATAATATTAGTAATACATTGCAAGCGGATGTCTTCTTGCTCCTATCATACACACAGAGATGTCCATTGGCGATGCTGGCCTCCCCAACTTTGCTCTGACATTCGGCATTCGAAAGGACCGTTAGTGTACCTTTCTGCAGGGCGTCTGGTAGGTTGTCGGTCTTGTCTGCAGAAAAAAAATCAAGATTTATTCCATTTTTTTAATTTAAGGGGTGTTTAACTTGGTTTAGGTACAGATAATTTTTTTTATAAATGAGAATTACAAAAAATAAAGGAAGACAATATGTGACCTGTTCTGCCCCAGCCGCTGATGATGCATGATTCGTTGACGAATTTGTTTATGCTGTCGGCTGGCAGGACGGCTGCTTTGATTTTGTCGGTCATTTTGATTTCAGTGGCGAACGTGAGGATGGCGATGTCGTTCGGGTAAGTGCCATTGCCCTGCTTGTACTTCTCGTGCTGTCGCAAGGTTTCAAACGTTTCATTATCTACTTAGACCAGCTAAATTAGACTTATGCACCGATTCAACACCAGATTATTTTTCAAAATTGTCTAACTTTTCAAAATAATTACAGAAGAAAAATAAATGTTTTGGTAACTAACAATTTTGAATGTCTTGATGGCTGCAATGGTGCCCTGAGCTGACAGACTCAGCTTGTGCAAGCCCGCCACCACCCGAAATTTGAGGTTGGTTCTGTGGAAAATTACCAACAAAGTTATCAAAAAACAAGCCAAAAATCATTAAAAATTGAATCAATTCAGAAGACAAAACCACACAAACACTCATGAAATATACCACAACTAATTTTTTTATAAATTCCTCAACAATAGAAAAAAAACTACTAAAACAAATAAACCAAATAAAAATTAACCTGCCATCAACGCAATGAGCGGCTGTCAGGGCATACTTAGGGGAGAGTAGGGATGCACCACATGTGTGTCTCCACGCACCTGTGGCGTTCAAATACTGGAGGGACAATTGGGAGGGGAATTCGTTCGGGGTTGCCTCACTGCCCCCAATCACGAAGGGATCAAAGTCGAAGGATGGTAGCTCTCTGCCAGGTAAGGCGTATGCTGTTCACGGATTTGATGAATTATGACTTTGGAATTTTGAAAGATATTTTCAAAATATTTCATGTTTGAGTAAGAATGAATGAATTAGTGCAGATTGAAAATATAAAATTTTTGCCCCAACAAATACAGTTCAACTATTTTTCAAAAATCGTCCCCCATAAAAAAAATTAAATAGTTTACCGAGAGCCAGGCAGACGAGTGCAAAGAGAATCAAAGTTTTCATCATGTAAGGGCAGTTTCTCAACTCTTAGGAAATCTGAACATACAATCGAAACATACGGGCGGGTATATATAGAGCAGAGAGACTATAGATACAGATAGACCATTATAAATCAGTATATTGGTAGATTGTCGAAAATTATCTCAAAACATTGAAGAACAATGCTTAGCAGATAAGATATCGTACAATTATTCGTTACGTTTGAATTGACAATTCTATTAAATCAGTCGATAATTAAGAAACTAAAATTTTTTAAATGTTGATAATAAATAATAATAGCATCGAAATTATACAAAATAATAATAAAAACACTATTATTTATCTGCATTGAACTGATATGGATGTTGAAGTTCCAGGACCACTTGAAATCAAATCTACGGTCGAATGATTGACGTCATTGAGAAACTGTGTCGAATTTTGGTCAAAATAATCGGTATTTTTGACTTTGTGTATTGTTTTGTATTGTATTGTTGTGTTGTATTGTGTTGTATTGTGTTGTATTGTATAGTATTGTATTGTATTATATTGTATTGTATTGTGTTGTGACAGTGCAATAAAGTACACAATCTTCTTTTACCAGGATCATATAACGAAAATTATGACTGCACAGTTGAAGTAAGCATGGGAACGGGAATCGCGGGAATCCCATCTCATGGTTCCCATGGGAATTGGTAAAACTTAATTTTCGGGAATGTTTAATTTGGTAATAGGAACTCCGGAATTTTGGATGTATAGTGACATGAATGTATGGTAGTGACATTTATAGTACATATTTCTATCACTTAGAATCGGTACATATGATTTAAATTTGTACAATGAAGTAAAATATCATATTATAATGTATAGGGACGTATTGTATAATACCAATTTTAACGAGTTTTTCAATCATGATCGATTAATTTGGTTTCATCGCGTAATGTAATGTTTCTGAAGTAAATTTGCTAAATGCACCCTCGGGCACCTTGCTGTAGTAAATCTTGAATTCACTTTTAGCGTCTCCATTCCCGGCTCAATTCAAATTTTAATATGTATTTTCCGTAAATTAGTGTTTAAATTTATTTATTTTATTTTTAAATGATTTATTTATTTATTTGATTTTAAATGTATTTTATTAGTTTATTTCCTAATTCGTTCCTGGATGTTTCAAGTAATTTTTGTTCCTGGTTTTTTTTAACAATTTTAAAATTTAAAATTAATAATTTTTATTTTAAATTTAAAATTTTATTTTTTTAACTGATTCTACACTGAATTATATTTTAACTTTTTGAAATAAATTAATAAACAAATAAATATCACCTCAGCATGATTTCTACCTATTTTAATTATTAAAAATTAACTCCACCTCAGGAATACATGAATAAAACACCACAAAACCACTGATCCCAAACACAGCCTAACCAATTTAACTAACGTTAAATCCCTAACTAGCTGACAAACAAACAGAACAATTAACAACAAACAGGCAAAAAAATACATACTTCATACAATCACACCTTACAATGGAAGTCAACAAAACACAGCCACCAATTGTCAGTCGACTGATACACCTTTCACAGCTGGTAAACTGCAGAACTGCTCTTACTGACGATGATCGGCCGATTAGTATCAATGTCCTCATCGACTCTTTGATGTTGCTGTATCAAGAATGCCTGTCACTCTCTTCAAACAACTCATCCATGACTACCATTCAGAATAGTAATTCTAAGAGTAGTATTAGTACTAATAGTAAATGTAGTATTAGTAGTATTAGTGGGAATATTGTTAGTGCTAAAAATAGTAGCAGTAGTAGTGATGGCATACAGCTGATAGATGTGAAGGAGTTTCTCGATAAATGTAATTTTTTTTCAAAATTTTTTATGTTGGGTCAATTTTTAAAAAATTTAAATATATTCTAATGTATATCTATAAATGTTTGCCTGTGTTAAAACATTAAATCAATATATATATATATATATAAATTAAATTAATTATATAAATATTCATATATATATATATATGTATGTGACCTCTATTATAACATTATTAACTTCATAGTTGAGCCTGTTGTAACAGAGCTACGTAGACTGAGAGTTAGTGAAGATGACTTCAAGGTCATAGGTCACATTAGTAGAGGCCACTTTGGGGAGGTGAAATTAGTGAAAGAGGAGATCACTAATAATATCTATGCCATGAAGGTCATGAATAAAAGTGAACTTCTGACACAGAAATATGTAAGTCTTTGTGGTGTGGTCACTTGAAAATTGTGAATAATATATTATTATTATAATTATATAATTATTTTATTATTATTATTATACAATTATATTATTATTATTAATCCCCAAAGCATAGAACTTGTAAAATCTTTATAAACTTTCTTCACTATACTCTCACAAATTAGAACGTCTCACTCGAAGAAGAGAGAGAGATAATGAGTAAATCATCGTCTGAGTGGATAACGCAGCTCTACCATTCGTTCTACAACTCGAAAAATGTCTACCTAATCATGGAATTTCATCCCGGTGGTGACCTACTTTCTCTCCTATCTAGGTCAACAAAATGGTCGACTGATTGACTGATTGATTGATTGGTTGATTGATTGATTGATTGATTGATTGATCGATTAAATGATTGACTGAATGTGTGGTTGGTTGGTTAATTTAGTGAGTGAATGACAAATTGATTGACTGACTGACTGACTGACTGACTGACTGACTGACTGACTGACTGACTGACTGACTGACTGACTGACTGACTGACTGACTGACTGACTGACTGACTGACTGACTGACTGACTGACTGACTGACTGACTGACTGACTGACTGACTGACTGACTGACTGACTGACTGACTGACTGACTGACTGACTGACTGACTGACTGACTGACTGACTGACTGACTGACTGACTGACTGACTGACTGACTGACTGACTGACTGACTGACTGACTGACTGACTGACTGACTGACTGACTGACTGACTGACTGACTGACTGACTGACTGACTGACTGACTGACTGACTGATTGATTGATTGATTGATTGACCATCACATAAACAGATTCAATGATATATTTCCTGAAAAAATGGCTCAATTCTATCTGGCCGAAATGGTCATGGCAGTCAGATCCCTCCATTTGATTGGTTACATACATGGGTTAGTTGGTTGAGTTATTTGATTTCAATTGGCAATGGTTATCTTTAGCACCTGCTCTGTCATTCCATTGATTGCCTTTTTGTTCATTCCTTCAATCATTCCATCCATTCATCCACTAATTTCACTACTTAACAGAGATCTTAAGCCGGAAAATGTCCTACTGGATAAGACAGGCCACATTAAGCTAGCGGATTTTGGTTCTTCGTGCAAAATTAACAGTCCTGGCCGATATAAGGTTTCATGAAAGTTCAAATGCTTCTCTCTCATTTTAATTTGGAAAGAGTATTTAAATGAGAGTTGATTAATTTTTTTCGAATGTTAATCATAAGTTTGTAAAAATCGTTTCTTAATGTCAAATTCAGAACCAAAGATATACAATCTTTAAAAAATCACCACCCCAGAATTTTAATTTTCCGATTGGGACCCCGTTCTACGTCAGCCCGGAAATATTAACCCTGCCAAACGACATCACCAACAACCAACCACAGCCAAGTAAATCAGGTCAAGATCTAAATAAAGAAAACCAGGTCGAAAATGGTCACGTGGTATCAATCGAGGCATGGGATTGGTGGTCGTTGGGGGTCTGTGCATACGAGATGATGATTGGCTGTCTGCCATTTGGGATGAACCCTGAAGCTGATTCGTTGTTGGCTGTTTATGATAACATTTTAAATCACACGGTGCCTATTTTATTAATTTTCAAATATTTATTTTTTTTTAACTTTAATGGTTAATTAGTTGTTTAATTAACTTATTAATATATATTATAATTGTGTTAAGATCACAGAAGTGAAAAAATTATGTCTAAATTGAAAAAATTTATTTTAGAAAAAGTTGGAATTTCCAGAGCATCCAAAAATATATCAGCCAATGCCAGATGTCTGATCGAAGGCTTGCTGGTTGAAAAAGACAAAAGATTAAACTTCGAATCAATCAAGAACCATGCATTCTTTGATGGATTGGATCTCAATAGCATAAGATCTGGTTGGTTGGTCGGTGGGTCGTTCAATCATTCAACCAATCATGATCAGCCAACCAATCATTCAACCAATCATTCAACCAATCATATCAGTCAACCAAACAACTAATCAATCATTCAACTAATCACAACCAACCAACCAGTGCCTCCACCGTACATCCCAACCATCAAGAGAGCCGACGATCTTTCAAATTTTCTCGATTGTTCTACCAGTAATTCCGCTATTTTAGGTGAAATTGTAAATAAATATTATATAAAGTTATTATAGTTGAAATAATTGTTGTAAATAATTAATATTTATTATAGTTATAATAATTATTGTAAATAAATAATTAAACCGACCAGTAGCAGCGGCGAGGAAGTCCGTTCACTTCAGCGACGATGCTGATTGGCCCCGACTGGCGGAAGAGGAAAAAGAAGGAAGAGGAAGTAGTAGCAACAAAACGAACGCACCAGACAGCGCGTCTTCATCGACTCCAGCTAAAAGGAGTTGCCTGATTGGAAGAAATAATTTTTCCGTTGAAAAAAAATCTCAAATTGAAAAAAATTGTCTCGCTGATTTGCCACTAGTTGGATATACTTTCGATCGAGTTCTATCAGAGCACGGTTGTTTGATTGAGTGAGTAATGATTATGATAGTAGTAGTAGTAGTAGTAGTTGTTGTTGTTGTTGTTGTGTTGTTGTTGTTGTTGTAGTAGTAGTAGTATAGTAGTGCTAGTTATTTTTAGTAGTAGTTGTAGTAGAAGTAGTAGTTGTAGTGGGAATTGTAGTTATAGTAGTAGTTACTTTGTAATTAGGTGATTAATATCGTATCGTCGCATATAGTATATAATGGTCATTGGTCTGACAACTGTGCGTGTGTGTGTGTGTATGCGTGCGTGTGTGTGTGCGCGTGTGTGCGTGTATTTTGTTTTGACACAACCTCACAGGGGCAATAAACAGTCTAGGGTGTCTTTGCTTGCCAACAAAATTAACAACAGTGGCTACATTGACTGCCAAAACAATACCCGCAAGTGTAACCACGACGACAATAATAATGGTATCATAAGTGACGTCACTAAGCCAAATGACGTCACTAAGCCCAACGACAACAACAACACGGCGATGATGATGATGATGTTGAATGGTGGTTGCGGTGGTGAGAGTGAAACGAGTAGGAGGATGGTGAGGGACTTGAGTGAGAGGTTGGAGATCGTGATGAAGGAGAGGGATAAACTGGAGATGGATCTTGCCGTGCAGAGAGCTGCTAATAATGTAAGATGGCTCGACGGATGGATGGATGAATGTATGGATTGAAAGAATGAGTAAAGGAGTGAATGATTGATGGAATAAATGTCTGAATAAATGAATGATTCACATACACGCCCATACATATATTCATCCATACATGCTAAACATATAGAGCCTTAGAAGGTCATGGAACCTCGAGATCGACAAGGTCACGGCCATGGAGGTCAAGGTGAAAGAGGATGTCTCTGATATAGTCGACCAATTGAAAGCCGAACTACTGAAACAGGAAGATTTTTATTGGTTGGCTATTTTTATCTTTTATTTTTTTTCCTCGTCATCATATTCCGACCTATCATTATCTGTATTCATCATCATCATCAACATCTCACTTATACTACTACAACTACCTATTATTACTACTACTACCTACTACTACTACTACCGTTATTATTAATAATAATGATGATGATAAAGACTAATGACGTCATAATCCCAGCAACCAATTAGATGATTGCCGAAAGATACAAGAGCAGCTGATGATGGAGCAGCATTTGAAAGATGAAAAGATTCGCGAACTTGAAAGCTTCATTAAAGATTGGAAAGCCGTTGTAGTTAAAACATCATCATCGGCATCATCAGCTTCTTCTTCCTCCTCATCGTCATCGTCGTCATCTTTAGTAGCTGATGTTGAGGAATGGAAAGCCAAAGTGAAAGTCGAAGTTAGTGATGCTGATTATGATGATGATGTTGAAAATGATGATGATGATGATAGTGATGATGATGATGTTTGAGATGGTAGTGATGATGATGGTAACGCTGACAAACAAACGAACGAACGAACGCCAGTTAAGAGAAGCATACAGAAACAAACTGAAAGATATGGGCAAAAGAATGAAGAAAACTGAGGAGGAAAGCACAAAAAGGGAAGAGAGATTGAAAGAAAGAGTGCAACAGGTTCATTAATTCATTTTTTCATTCGTTGTTCGTTCACTCATCGTCATAATGCAAGCAATATCAAATGTTGAATAATTGTAAAAAAAATACTATTGATATTCTATTTCTTTATTCGTTCATGCATGCACTCGTTAATTCATTCATTTATTCATTCACTCTATTCATTCACTCATTCATTCATTCAGGCTGTCAGCTTACAATACGAACTGCAGATGAAACTGAACGACAAAAACTCTGAAAAAGAATTATTGATCATTGAGAATAAAGATTTAAAGAGAGAGATTGAAAATTTTGAAGTGGGTGATTGATTGATTGGTTGATTGATTGATTGATTGATTGATTGATTGAATAATCATTTAATTTATTCATTTAATTAGTTAAAAGTGCAGCAGTCGGTTGAAAATCATTTGGCGATTGAGAAGAGAGAGAGGGAAATTCTGGAGAGGGCGAATGGCCTCGTAATGGAGAACCAGTCACTCAAAAAATTCATCAAGGTCTGATGTTCGAATGAACGAATGAAGGATTGAGTGAATGATTGAATGAATAAGGGATTGAATGAATGAATGAGTGATTGAATAAATGAGTGACTGAATAAATAAATGTGTGATTGAATGAATGAGTGACTAAATGAATGAATGAGTGAATGAATGAATGAATAAACGTTTGATTGAAGGAACGATTGAAGGAGTGATTGTATCATTTTCATTCATTCATTCACTGCTGTTCAGACTCTCGACTCAGAAATATCGACGCTGAAAGAAGAGAAGCAAGGATGGATGGAGGAGAGAGTGAAGAATGATGAGAGGATGATTGAAATGCGAAAGCAAGAGAAAGTGGGTTTTTCCCGAATGACGTCACCTCAATTATTAACGTATTATTATTTTATCTTATTATAATACTAATAATTATTATTAATATTATTTATTATAGATGATGGAACTTCTGAAGGAGAATGTCGTGACCTTGGAAGAGCACGTGACCAGGCTCAAGGTCGACCTCATAGAGTCAAGGTCGCTAAATCAGGAGGCTAAGAGGATGAGAAGGTACCAGTGAATGAATGGATGGATGGGTGAATGAGTGAGTGAGTGAATGAATGGATGTATAAGTGAATGAATGAGTGAGTGAATGAATGAATTAATGGATGAATTAATGAATGATCGAACGTAGAAATGAATGAATGACTCTTTTGATTCTGAATGATTACATTGAAATTTACTTCAGGTCTGAGATTAATACTACAATTAACATCACCTCAGAAGTTAATGACAACAACAACAATAATAACAATAACAATAAAAATAACATGAACAATGACGTCATTCTTGTTCATCAATTTGTCCAAACTGATGAATCATCTTCGTCATCATCGTCGTCGTCATCAACATCACAGCTGTTTAAAGTCAGCTCTTTAAATGATGATGATGATGATGAGGAGGAGGAGGAGGAGGAAGAAGATGCTATCCTTGAAAATAATAATGGTGATGGTGATGATGATGGTGTCAATACTTTTGAAGCTACTAACGCCGCTGCTGGTACTACAACTGCCGCTAAAAGTAAACCTTCTGCTGCAGATGTTGCCACTACTAATACCATACTTAATGGTAAGAATACGTTGAGTGATGGTGTTAATAATAATGATGATAATGACGTCGTCAATCAAAACATTCTGCTACTACAACAAGAAAATTATAAGCAGCAAGTCTATGTGGATCAGAAGCATCGACAAATACATCAACAACAACATCAACAACAACAACAACAGCAACATCATCAACAGCAGCAACAACAACAACTACAACATCAACAGCAACAACAACAGCAGATGCGTTATACTGCTAATGTAGGCAGTGACAAAAGATCTATACTTACTGAAGTCTCTTTCTTTTTGAGGAATAACAATAATAATATTAATAATAATAATAAAAATGAAAATAATAATAACAACAATGGTAATGATGACGATGATGAATGTTTGAATGGCTTGAAGAAAGGTTAGAATGATAAGCTGAACCTTTTTTTAATGTGAT